CACATGTATATCCTCTCTCAGGAAGAAAAACACATCCAATCTTGAAACTCCACCTGAAAGTCCCAATGGTGCTGTTGTTGCTTCTGTTGTGTTGCTGCTGTTGCTGTTCCTAGGATTGCAAATGTCCATTGAGATTTAGAGACTTCCATTTAACATTTATGATTTTGAAGGTCTTTGGGTGCAGAATTGGAGATTTCCATTGAGATTGAATGATTTTGATTGGTGTTGAAGGTCTTTGCATACAGATTTCTATTTTAAATTGTGAGATTTCCATTGTTGCTGCTGTTGCTGCTCCTAGTATTGCAAATGTCCGCTGAGATTTAGATGTCCATTCAACATTTATGATTTTGAAGATATCTGGGTGCAGAATTGGAGACTTCCGCTGAGATTTAATGATTTTGAAGGTCTTTGCATACAAATTTCTATTACATAATTGAGATGTCCATTGAGACTTAATGAGTCTGAAAGTCTTTGGATACAAATGTATAGGGTACTCCATGTATGGAGTGCTTGGGATAGGGTCCCCAGTGATCCTTGGAGTTGCACCGTACAATGGTTGTTCCTTCATTTCCTTGCACTTTCTGGTGGAACTCAGGGGAAACCATGTCAATCCATTTCAAACTTATTTACGGGGATGCACGGCACTTACCCGTCTTTCTCACTTCTTTCACAGTTGTTTCACGGTCAATGGCGCGTTGATTTATTTGTGTTGATTCATTCAAGAACAATGCCCTTCAAACCCACGGCAAACTACAGAACTGTCCACAGGGAGTGAAATGTTATTGTTCATGTCATGTGTATTGTCTTGATTCCATTCCAGCTTCCTAGCTTCCGGTAGATAACATCAAGAAATCCTACCTTGAGAGGCTGGATCTCCATTCTTGTCGTGGTATAAATCCACAACAAATTTCCACAATCCTGGCTTGAGCCGTGACAAACAAATGCTGATGGTGCACGGTTAGACAATTTTTATAAGAGTACGTCGGCGTAGGGCACTGGAACATGTGCTGTCCCTGTTGACTCGGTTGAACAGGGTGTCCCGGTTGAAACCAGTTGACCCAATTGACCTTGTTTGATGGCAAGTGTGGTTGTGGTAGTGCTAGTGTACTAGTAGTAGTCGTCGTCGTCGTAAGTAGGAAGTAGGAAGTAGTAGTAGTACTAGCGGTACTAGTAGTAGTAGTAGTAGTAGTAGTAGTTGTAGTTGTTGTTGTTGTTGAAGTTGTAGTAGTAGTAGTAGCAGCAGTAGTAGAAGGAGTAGGAGTAGCAGTAGCAGTAGAAGGAGAAGGAGAAGGAGTAGGAGTAGCAGCAGCAGTAGTAGTGACCTCGCGGTCGGAAGTTCGGGTTCGGGGTCAACTGGGTCAATTAGGTCAACTGGATTCTTATAATTAGCGTGGCCCCCTATGCGGTCGCGATGCTATTCTTTTGGTTTGCTTTGTCCCGGAGCGCGACATAGAAAAACAGCTAAGCCTAACCTGTCTAGATTAGGTTTATATTTATATATATTGATTACTATATGTTCGAACTATCTATTTTTTTATATCCGGACCCTCTAAGTGAACTTAACCTCGGTGACTCATTGGTGACTGAGTATCCTCCGCCCAGATCAGTGGTTCAAATCCCAAGTGGATACCGTCCACCCTTCCCCTTCCCCAAGGGTGACGCCTGACCCGCCGCCACACATGGCGTCGGGCATTGCGTGCTCGAGCCAAGGGCCAAAGATCGGACCGAAGATGGTGAATCTATGTAGACGCTTGATTCATAAACCCCCCTTTGAAGAGGATGTTCAATTCAATTGGGGTGGTGTGTGTTCCTCAAGAGTCTACAGTCTACATCTCATCTGACAGGATCAGTTTGGATCAATCAATGACAGGATTGGTTCGGACCTGTCGTAGATCTTAGATCTCTTAGATCTCACAAACTGCTCTTTTCAATTGCAGAGCCCAAAGAACCTCGTTCACCGCACTCCATTTGCTTCCCCGGCAGAATGTGCAGCTGCCAGGCCATGGATGGAAAGAGCACTTGCCAAGGCTTCTGTAGCAAGACCCTCAGAGGACACCAATTTTTAAACCTGGACATGAGAGACCTGGACATGAGCCCTCAACTAAAAGACCTGTTGGAGGGTACTGGTACTGAATGGAATAATGGTCAATTCCACCAAGGATCCTTGGACCTGATGGTCGGAGGCTGGATAGCACTGGTACCAGAGAGATCCCTGAACCTGATGAGCTCGCTCTGAACAATCCGAACATCCGACTCCCACCCCGACCAGGATTTTCACCACCTTGGGATGGATGGGCCGACCATCCGACTCCATCCGACCATCCGACTCCTCGGGTTGATGGTCATGGTCTCTGCCTGCCTCCGCAAGGTTTGCAGCGCCTCCAATGGCGTCATCGGGCACGAAAGGCCTCGATGACTTGAGGCCGAGGGTAGGTGACGAAAGCTAGCAGGGGTGCATCCGGACTGGTGGGACATCAAGCGGATTGAGGCAACTGCTCATGAGGTAAAACGTTGTGAACATGTAAGACACACAAACAGCAATGACACAGCCAACCTTAGAATTGAAGCTGTTGGATCGTCATGTATATGTAATGAGGGACTGAAGTAAAGCAACGCAGCATCATGAGCATCACGGGAAGTCACAAACCAGGCGTATCAGATACACCTGGTTTATGTATGTTTGTTTGAGCATCTTTGTCGAGTGAAGTGTCAGCCATATGCACTGAGATGCCGAAGGAAGCTCAAAGGCACGTGTATCTGATACGCCTGGTTTCTGACTTCCCGTGATGCTCATCATTGAAGCCTTGAACCCTCGCGTAAATTTCATGTTTCATGCCCCCCCTTCCAAACTCAAACAGTGGCCTACTTCACCTGCCACCTAAACATAGCACTATAGCATGTACCGGAAGCGTCGCAGGGGGGAGTTGAACCCGCGGGGGGGGGGGGGGCCCTACACGTGAAGTTTTCACGTGATTCATGATTCTCGAGGCTGCGAGTCTGCGAGCCCTTGACTTGCTAAAGCAAGAGCAACTCCAGCTAGCTGATGCTAGCTTTCGTGAAAAGTTGGTCCCTCCATCCAGGAGCTCGGCAGGACTTATGAGGTGGGGGTTTGAAATGGATGGAAGAACCTAATGAACCTCACCAAATGTTCTCGACACGTCTTCCAAAAACCATCTCGGATTGCTTTGTGAGATGAGCGGTGGAAGTACCAGGGCTGGCTTCAAAAGTTCTAAAGGGATCCATCTTTTTCTATATGAAACGAGCAAAAGGGACCGTCTTCCATTCAAGAATCCCACCACACCACTGTCGAAATCCCAGTGCCTCGTGATTCATCCACTTCGGAAACTATGTATCCACAGTATAAAGGATATGAGAACATATATATATATAGATATCAATTGCAACTTGGTGACCCCTATGGTGGGGCGTGCTTGCTACTTTTGGGCGATAGCTACCACTATGTTATAGGTCGTTCCTATTGCGAAGAGATCGAAGATTCAGAAATTCACCGGTCAGTCCTCTCCCACACCCCTTTTCTGATCACCACGCCCTGTCAAAGGCTTGCCTCAGCTGACTGAAGTTAGCTGGACATCTGGCAGGTCTCCTATGTATATCCTGGGGGTATACCAAATAAAATAAGTCCTTGAAGTTTGACATTCAAAATCATTTATATAGTAGTCGGAAAGTATAACCTGTGATTTTCCAAACTCAACCTGATTATTTCTGCTCATTCAGCACCAATTCCGACATTCGAACGGCCATCCGGATGGCTTGTCAGACCTGAAGGTGGCGCAACTCGTCTACCAAGCTGAACTGTGAACAGGATACACCCATCCGAGCTCTGGTTTTTTACCAATAGCATCTATATAGAACTAGCAAGTCATACAATATGATACAATGATATCGCGCCATGCCATGTCCAAGTGGTTGCTGCCTATAACTGCACAGCATGCCTACCCATAGGGTCTATAGACATGGCTTGCAGGTGTCAATATCAAACATGCAAAGCTGAACGTTCGGAGTTAAGAAATCGTCTATCCACCAAAGGACGTTGCATCAATCCAGGCAAGGATTTGCGAACAGGCCCTCACTTTGATTCACTGTGTCAAGATATCACCACCATGTCATCCTGACGGTTGCTGAGATCCCCAAACATTGGGTGCTGACCACAAGCACCAGTTGCCATCGGAAGACTGGCAACAAAAGTAAAGTTGTGTTTTCGATGGCAGGTTTGCTTGGCGGGGCGGGGAAGGTTTCTGGACATGTCTGAACAATCACGGGCACCGTCATGCCAAAAAGATAAAGACTTTAAGAAGAAAAGGATAGAAGAGGGATGGATCCCTAAAAACATCCACTAGTCACCAGTCTCTCGTCCTCTGCGCCGCCATCGCGCTCCCCCACACCGCTCCACCGTCGGAACCGCGCTGCACAGGACGCCCTCCGCGCTCTCCAGGCGCCCCCAGAGGATCACTGAAATCCTGGGCCCCGCCGAGGTCGCAGCCCGCTCCACACGTGGCACGCAGTGCTGGAAGGCGGAGTTCACCTCTGCGGATGGGAAGATAGGAAGAAGTGCCATGAACCGAAGCGATGGATGGATGGTACTGGTGGCACTTACAAGATGAGATCATTGTGGAGGAGAGGGGGGTAGGTTTAAGATGGGTGGACAAAGGATCATTGTAATTTATAATGTATATATATATATAGTAATACTTCCCACTAGCGCACATGTGCGCATATGAACACGTGATATCTGTTGAAAAGGTCAGGAATCCCTCGGGGAAATCTGATAAAAGAGCCTCTTGGCATTTTATAGCTTCTTGAACTTGTATTAGGGTGCTCACTTGGTTGTGGTTTTCTCATGAATAATCATGATATATCATGATCATCGGGTGCTGCTGTTTTCATGTTCCTGTCACCCCACCGTGCACAAATCAAGGTAGATGTCGTCAAGAATACAGGAGCCCGCTCTAACCCCTGAGGCTGAGGGTTATGGCCCCTTGAAGGGAAGAAGACCCGGCACGATCCGCAGCCCCTTCTCCGGCTGCGGCTGGATCCACAAATATCAGGCTAGCAATGCCGCTGCCAACGCAACACAAGGCGGATCCAGAAGGCTTGCCCGACAAGTGCTAGTTGGTCTGGTTTTTGGACAGCTCCGACAGCTCTGGCTTGAGCAAAGCAACGGTTTGGGTCACAAAATTTGGTACCAAAACCATCCAAGGAGAGAAACTGTTCCCTGTCTTAAGCATCTTAAAAGGGTGAAACCACAAACTCCGTGATAAATGCTGGCTTCATTGTTGGTTCTCATCATCTTGCCCCAGACTGCCATCCTCAGGATGCGTCAGGTAGATTCAGCAAGGTCCAGGTAATACATGGATCTCCGACGGAACGCGCACGTTATTGGGAGGTCAAATCTCCGTCATTGACCCCAGCGGACTTGGACTAGCAGCAGGTTCAGTGAAAGCGAAGACATCGCCATTGTGCTGGGGAAAGGCAAACTCCAAGTCGGTCCTCGGTGAGGGTGTTAAACTGGACTGGTGAGGACGTGCGAGACTGCTCGGCCACCTGGCTGGGTGGAGTGATGGGGACCACCAGCCAAATGGAGATCATTCTGGGTGGAGTGATGACTGATGGGCATGGCATTCAACTTGGGGTTGGTGGATGCTTTCTTCTTCTACTGCTCTGCTGAGTTGACCAAAGTAAACCACCAATTTGGTTATCAATTCCCCAAAACCTCAGCTTCACAACTGTAGAGGCATCTGGATGACATCTGGATGTCACTTCAAAAAAATGGACTCCAAATCTGTGGCCCAAAACGACTCTCCAGGACGGGCCCAGTACGGACCCCACCGAGTTCCCGCCACCCACCGAGGTCGCGCCCCTCGTCCGCCCTCGTCCAGGCGGCTGCAGGTGTTTGAAGCGTAGCTCCCTCGCAGCACCAAAGCCTACACCAACGACTCCGAGGAACAATAGGATCCGCCCGGCGTAATGGTGCGCATGTGAGAGCGAAAGCATGTCGCGATGCGAAATCCGAAGAGAGCGGGTTGAAACCATCCATCAGGCTGGAAGATTGGGCTACATTGACCCTTAAATCATCTCAAGCCAGCCATCCATGGAATCCACGGAGGCAAATATTATATAATCAATTCCAGTCGGATTGTCTGGGAAAAAAGACCTGCTTGGTCTTGCGACTCCTAGGAAGCGGGTCAAGGGGATTCACCGACCAAAAACTGCGGAAACTTTGGTCTCTTTGGAATGTAACAATGATTTATTCAAGAGGCCCTTCCCAGAAAAACCCATGTCCTTCCACCAGAATCCTGAAAAGAACACGTGGTGGGATATCCCCATTCCGTCTAGGTTGCAGACTCCAACTCCTTTCCAAAACATCAGTTCTTGACTGGTGGGTGGTTTCAACCAAAAACGTTACGAACAAAGTTAAAAATATGAGTCGACGCGAGTTCGATCATCCCAAGCATTTTGTCCTGTGGAATCACATTCATTGAAACACATGAAGCATCATTGAAAAAAAACACTCGAACATCTCAATCTGATCATGAGTTATAAAGGCTGAACTCCATATTGTAAACATCTCAAGAACCAATCCCCCCCAAATCCAATCTCCAGACCAGGTCTCGGGTCAGTCTGTGCACGCCGAAAGCCTTCCCCTGCAGTTCCTCCAAGCTGCTGGCGCCCACAGTGACTTCATGAGCCAAGTTGGTGCTTCCCATGCGGTTCCCCTCCGCACGGTAGTTGTCCTCGAGCGGCGGAGGCCGTGTGGAGCCCCCCGCAGCGGCGGATCCGAGGTGTGCAGTCCGTGGCTCTGCTCGGGAGGTCTGAGACTTGGGAGGCTGCCTCGAGGGGTTGGTCTGTTGTAAATTGGCATCCTTGATAAAACAAAGGGGGACTGGCACACAAACCTACATTTGGGTGGTTGAAAAGGTGTCAATGTCGGCAGATATTTTTTGAAATGCTCCACATCATCAATCCATCATCACTGCACGCCCCTCGCGGAACACCCATGAAGCCGCCGAGTCAAGCGATGACGTCGCTTGTGTGAACGTCTCCGTCCCGGACCCCGGGTCCCGGTGGTACTCCGTCCAGTCGTTGCCATCGGCATAGAGATTCACAATGGAGTAACCCACCTGGGACAAAACCAAGTTTGGGTGGTGGGCTCGGTGGCATTTGTGCATATTTGTACGGAGAGTCCTTGCATGAGGACTCAGTTCAGTTCAGATGATCTGATTTGACCATGTTTATTCATCATGGTTCTTTTCGGCGGTTTTGGGCTTTTCACCATGGCGGCGATGAACTCTTTCCGGCTGCTCTTGGGCTCCCAGCGGTGACTCCGAAGATGCGCCGGAGCTCCGCCACGATCTGCCCTGGAGACTTCGGAGATCCGACGATGCCCTCG